CGGTCCCACCCCCTGCGCCGCGGCGCGGTACCTTGTTTACCCGCGGTGCATGGTGGGGCCGTCGCCCGGGACAACCCGGGTCTGCCCGTAGGCCGCGCGCGGGAGCACGGGAGCCACGGCCACGCCATGGGCCGGACGTCCACGCCATCCGCGCCCCTGGGGAGCCCCGACTACTACGAGAAAATATGCCGCCTCCAGCAAGGGCTGAGGGACAGGTACAGCAAACCTGGGACCGAGGCGGAGGCGGTACTCGGCTGGCACGGAGGGTGATGTGGGTGCCTTGCCTCATCTTTCTTCACCCCGGGTAGCAGTGTTTGAGTCCGCCAGAGACGCCTCCAGCATTGGAAGGGGTGTGTGTGTGTGTGCAGAGATGAGACACTCCCCCCCTTCCCCCGTCCCCATCCCGACCGCCAGCCGCAACCACGGAAGCTCTCTTCCTAGGAGGCCAGGAGTTCTCCTGCCTGTCTGTCACTCTTAATCAAACCTGGTGAATTTCTCTAGTCCTCCTCTGCCAGGTCCCCTCCCAGTCTCTTCAGATTGTCATCCCACCTGACAGCGGCTCTGCATCAATGATGACAGGTTCAGGAATGCAGACGGGAGAAAGAGTGTGCGTATGTTTGCACAAAACATAGGCCCTGTTGACATGCAGAAGGTATTTCTGGCCTTCCCGGAAGGATAACCAGGTTTCCAGAGAAGATATGAAGTTTCCTGTGGAAAAAGTCCAGCCTCCAGAAGATACATGATACCTTTGGGACATGGAAGACAGGGGTCACTGAAAACAGCCATACTTACGAATACGTAAAGGAAGAAAATTATAAAACCAGTTTATTCTAACTGCTTAAAAGATAAAGTTGTTGAGACTCTTATTTAGTTGCAAATGTAACGAGTTAAAAATCTCAATAGCTGGCAAGGAAGGAAATTGAATTTTGTTTTGTTTTTGTAAGCAAAAACACTTAATAAGTGTTAAAAATAGCAATTTTAGTGAACAGACAGATATGTGTAACATTTCTAAAGTGTTGATAATTATATGTAAGGTAATGGTGGAAGTAAGTGGTTCTGAAAAGGAATTATATTCATCTTTTGCTAGATTTCTTTTTGCCAAATATGTATAGAGCATTTACAATGGGCCTCTTCAATTGACACCACCATGTTGTACTCCTTAATCCTTTTTGACATGCAATTTTCTTAACATATCACCTCTTGCCTTCCCCATGGCCTCTTCATCACAAACTTGCGAAATGTTATTCCTTAAGACCCTTTACTGCTCTGGGTTGATCACTCCCATTCCCTAAAAGATGTGACCGCAGTATTATGATAGCACTAGCTTAAGTAACTTGCTAGCACACAATAGAGTACCCAAGGAAGAAGGGAAGACCCAAGAGTACTCAAGGAAGAAGGGAAGACGCTACATGATAAGTGTTTGTTGAATGGGTAGTTCAAATCTCTGAACCAACTAGGGTATAGGAATTACGAATGTTCTGTGGAGCCCTGATGGCATTGTTGAGTAAGCATTAGACTTGCAACCACAAGGTGGTGGTTTGAACCCACCACCCACGCCTTGTGAAAAAGGTGAGGCTCTAGGCTCCCATAAAATTTTAAATTGGAAGTAGATCTATGGGAACAGACAGCCTCATCTTTCTCTTGCAGAGTGACTATTGGATTTGAACCCCTGACTTTGTGGTTAACTCAGTAGACAGGCCACTATGACATCAGTCAGTGACAAATAATGACAACAATAAGAATTATACAATGAAATTTCCCCAAATTTAAAGTACTAGTGATAGGGACCTTGTATTTATTAAATGTGAGACAAAACCTTTATTTCAGAGTTAATTTCCTAACTTAGCCACCTGATTCTTTCTAGGTTTATCTGGTTAGGAGCAGAGGAAGCCACCAACCTTTAACCCAGGGTAGATTTATGGGAGCATTGCTTTCAGACATGGTTGAGCTCTTACCACTAAAGTATCACTGTATCTTAAAATCTGGCCATATTGTATTTTACACTTAATTATATATTTTATACTTGTTTATTGTATGTTGTCCTCTACCCAATCAATGTCTTCTGAGTGCTATTATATTGAAAAGATTGCAACCAATGTTTGAAACAAAATGTGTATAACTTGTTGAATGGAAAGCAAATTTATTTTGTAAACTTTCATGAAAACTGCAATAAAAAGTAAAAAAGAGAGACAGAAATACAGCCAGAATTCTCAATATAGCAACAGGGGCCACAGTAACCTTCAGGCTTCAAACTGAGCCTAGCTTATCATAGACTAGGGAAAAATATTTGCTTAATAAGTGAGCATAATTCCTATCCTTTTCCTACTTTATCTCCCCATTAACTTTGAGTAATTTTTTTGCCTTTATATTAGTGTCTTTATTGCCTCATATATTTTCTAGGTGACTCTGAGGTATTTCTGTGTCTAGACTAGAGTTTCAAACACAGCTGGCATTTTTTGCTTCTGCGAGAGATCAGAAGAAACAGTCTTACAAAGGCATTTTGAAAGATCATGTTCTAAGTTTGACTACCTAAAGCTTACGAATATAATTTGTAAACATTTTTTTCCGTATTTAGTGAAAAGAAGAGATTGGACCTAGAAAATAAACTTTATGAATACAATCAGTCTGATACATTCAGGTAAGAAATGACAGTGGTAATAGTTTTCAAGCAAATTTGTATATGCCAACCAATAAAATGTGTTGTTAGTTACTGTCCTAAGAAGTTGGTTGCCACTCACAGTAACCATGTATTCAACAGAATGAAACAACTTCCTGGTCTTCTGCCATCCTCACAATTATTATTATGTTTGACCTCATTAGTAAAGCCACTGTATCAGTCCATTTTGTTGAGGGTCTTCTATTTTTGCACCGTCCATCTACTTTAACAAATCTGATGCCCTTCTCTAGTAGCTGGTCTCTCCTGAGTATGTGAGATGCAGTTTCACCATTCTTGTTTCTAAGGAAAATTCTGGCTCTGTCAGCGTGCTCTCTCTCTCTCTCTCTCTCTCTTTAACCATTTATTGTAGTTTGGGTGAAAGCTTTCGAAATAAACTCATTTTCCGTTCAACAATTTATACACATTTTGTTTTATAACATTGGTTACAATCCCCTCAGAATAACACTCATCCTTCTTCCTCCCTGGCCACCTTGTTTCCATTTATCCATCTTTCCTGCCCTTGCCTACCTTCTGAAATTTGTTTTTGGTCTCATATGGTTGACTGTACTGAGGAGTTCATTGTAAGATTGGATATTTTTTGGCTGAAAGCTAATTACTGGGGTGGATTGAGTTCCAGGCTTGAAGGGTTTCTTGGGCTGTACTAGTCTCCATCAGACAACTAAGTGTGGTCGTGTTTTATGATTTTGAATTTTGTTTTACTTTCTCCTCCCTCCCCTCACTCCACCCCCATTTTTCTCTGCTTATAAGTTTATATTGTGATCCTGATCATAGCTGTTGGTAGTAGTCTGGCTGTACTTCTTCCAAGACAGACTTGTTAGTTCTTCTGTCATATTCTTCATCAGCAGCATAATTCAAATGCAGTCACTTCTTTGGTCTTCCTTGCTCGTTGTCCGGTTTTCACTTGCATATGAAGTGGTTGAAAATGTCATGACGGGACAGATTAGCTGTGTGCTCAATGTGGCATTTTTGCTTTTCAGTACTTTCTAAAGGAGATCTTCTGTAGCAGATTATTACAGTGTTATAAGTTGTTTGTTGCCTTAGCTGCTGCTCCCATGGGCATTGATTGTGGATCCAAGTAAAATTAATACTTGGCAACTTCATCTTTCCTTCGTTTATCATGATGTTACTTGTTGGTCCAGCTATGACAATTTTGTGTCCTTTATTTTGTGGTGTGACCCACACTGAAAGTATAGTCTTTTGTCTTTATCACTAAGTGCTTCAAGCCCTGTTCACTTTCAGCAAGCAAGGGTGCGTCATCTGTATATTGCAGGTATTAATGAGCCTTCCTCCAGTCCTGATAATACAGTTGCCTTTGTATAGTCCTTCTCAGATTATAATTTAGGAATATAATTTTCTGAACCCCACTAGCTCTTATATCTGTGGTCCTGGGATAATTACTTCAACATTCTATGCCTCCAGTTTTGCATCTGTAAAATAGGGGTAAATATCTGAACCAAAGTAAAAGTCAGTTTATTGCTATTTTTCTCAATATCATTGTTGTTACTATTTATCACCTCTGAATTTCAATCATTACTGTTTCCCCTGCTTGGGATATTTCACTCTTTAAACTTTTTATTCACACCTCAGATCTCAGTTGAAAATTTATCTCAACAGGAAGAACTCTTTGACCCCTCAGTTAGGTCAGGTTGTCCAATACATAAGAGCCCTTTGTGTTTCTCTCATAGCATAATCCTCCTTTATTGACTGATGTAACCGTGTCTCCTGTTGACTCTTGCTTGGTTCCTATACTTACAATATGAATGATTGGCTATATGATTTACTTATATGATCAGCTTTGAAGGCTAATGTGGGGACAGGAATGAAGCCTCTTGTGGATCAGTGGTTCTCAACCTTCCTAATGCCGCAACACTTTAATACAGTTCCTCATGTTGTGGTGACCCCCAAACATAAAATTATTTTTGTTGCTACTTCATAACTGTTATTTTGCTACTGTTATGAATAGGATGACCGCTGTGTAAAGGTCGTTCGACCCCCACAGGTTGAGAACCACTGATGTAGATGGAGAAGGCATGGTTACTACTGTACTTACAAAAGATGTCATCAAGGTTGCATGAGCAAATATGCTGAGCAAATAACTGACCTTTTAGTTAGCAGCCCAACTCCTATGTCACCAGGCCTCCTTGTGGGAGGTTATAAGGTATGCATAAAAAGTAGTTAACAAAGCCTCCATTGTCTGCTCCCTGTTTATTTTTTCATCCACTACCACCATCATCATACCATCTTTTATTTGAGGGACAATAAAGGACTTAGAATTCTTCCACTGTCGTCACACTCAGGCACTTGGTAATGCTGTTCTACATGGACTAAGTACAATAGTTTAAGTATTTTTAGGTGAACAGCTTGTTTTGAAATTGTCTTCCATTTAAATGAATGCTAATAGACTGCCATATATACTCGCGTATAAGCCGAGTTTTTCAGCACATTTTTAATGCAGTTTTTGTGGTAAAATTAGGTGCCTCATTCTGGGATGCTCACCTTCCTCACATGATTGCTGAAACAAAATGGGTGCATAAGCAAATGTGGTGAAGAAAGCTGATGGTGCCTGGCTATCAAAAGATATAGCATCTGGGGTCTTAAGGGATTTAAGATAACCAAGCAGCCATCTAGCTCAGAAGCAACAAAACCCACATGGAAGAAGCACACCAGCCTGTGTGATTATGAGGTGTCAATGGGATCAGGTATCAGGCATCTAAGACCCAGAACAAAATCATACCCAATGTGAATGAGGGTACATGGAGTAGAGACGCAATGCCCATCTATAGACAATTGGATATTCCCCCTACAGAGGGGTCACAGGGAAGAAATGACTCAGTCAGGATGCAGTATAGCACCGATGAAACACAACTTTCCTCTAGTTCCTAGGTGCTTCCTTCCCCCCACTATCATGACCTCAATTATACCTTACAAATTAGATTAGACCAGAACATGCACACTGCTACAGGTAAGAGCCCACAAATACAGGAAATCCAGGATAGATAAACCCCTCAGAGCCAATAATGAGAGTAGAGATACCAGGAGGATTAGGGAGAGTGTGGGGAGATAGGGGGAATTGATCACAAAGATGAACCTAGAACCCCCTCTCGGGGATGAACAACAGAAAAGTGGGTGAGGGGTGATGAAGGACGATGTAAGAGATGGAAAAAATAATCATAACTTATCAAGGGTTTGTGAGGGAGGGCGGGAGGGGGAAGAAATGGGGAATTGATATCAGGGGCTCAAGTGGGAAGAGAATGCTTTGAAAATGATGATGGCGCCATATGTGAAAATGTGCTTGACACACTGGATGAATGTATGGAGTATGATAAGAGATGTAAGAGCTCCCATTAAAAGTAAGGGGGAAAAATTAGGTGCCTCGGCTGATATTTGGGTAAGCTTATACTCGAGTATATACGGTATTTATCAGAATATGGGCGCTTAGACCCTGCTCTTGACATCATATTTAATTCTGCGAAGTAAATCTGTATAAATGTTTATTTTATGAATATTATAATGAATGTTACATACATTTCTCAATAGAGTTATGTTAGATATAGCCATGTGATATCCCATAATACTCCATTAATTTTCTCCCCCTAAAAATTACGTATATATAATCTATCCTTTGAGTTTCAGTATTTATCAGTAAGGTAAATTCTCTTAAGCTTGTTCAAGTAATCTGCTTTTAATTTTCTAGACTGAAGCTGAAGTATGTAAAATTAAAGAAATACCTAAAGGAAATACGTGACTCAGAAGAGAAGGCTCATACTCGAAACCAGGAATATTTAAGACGGTGTGAGCACTTCCAAGCTCATGTGGGACACTTCACCATGAACACAGACAAGCTTCAAGAGCTGAAGGTGACGTCTTATTTTATACTATGCCTTTTTAAAATCTTACGTTAATAAACTTAGAAGTTCTGGGAAAGAAGTTTCAGGTCAGGGCCGGGTTTATTTGTTCATACGATTAAGTATCAGTTTTCTCTGTGAATTAACATGTAGCCAAATTTTGATCACAAAACTTTGAATTATATTTTTGAAGACTTTATACTTTGGCAGCAGAATTAATGCCATATGTATTATTTGTAGTATCCTTATATTATATTAATACATAACACAGGCAATCCCTAGTCAATACTTAGTACAGTGCCTAACACGTGGCAGGCCCTTCCTGGATTGCTGGCAGGATGATTAAATTTGAGGGGCACAAGGGGCTGGCAGGATGATTAAATTTAAGGTGCCCCTGTAGTGTGAATTAGGCATTCCACTATTAACCTCTCATGGTTAGTGGTTTAAACCCACTAGCCTTTCCATAGGAGAAAGATGAGAAGGCTGTCTGCTCCCATCAAGATGTACAGTCTTGGGAACCTTGTGAAACCACTAGGGAATTGACTCAATGGAAGTGAGTTTCTGCGAGGGGTGTCTTTAGAGATTGCTTCCTTCTTTTAAAGAGTTCTTTTTATGTGGTGTGTTCTTCTGTGCTAATAAGGCAGGGAGTTGGATAAAGGCTGAGTGGTAGAACTGGCCCCAAGGAGTTATGACCCAGAGCCACTACTCTTCATGGCCCTTTGTGATTCCGACCCCTCATTTCCTCTGCCAAGTTAGCAGGGCCAGGAGGCAGACCTGCTTCTCACAACTTACACTGGTCAGGGCTGATTGACTAAGTTAACTGGATGTTGACCATAGAAGAAGCTAGCTTCAACATTTCTCATTTTCTTAGCTCTAGGAATTTCTTCCCAGCTTTTATTGTAAAAAAAATTTAAATACACAAAAATTGGAGGAATTACTATAACAAATACTCATATACTCTAGTATTTTGCTGTATTTGCATTTGCATATGCTACCTCTCATTCTTTATATGAATATTTTTCCTGATTAATTGAAAGTATGTCACAAACACTTGATCATTAGCCTCCTAAGAAAAAGGACAAATCTTAATAATCATAATACTATTAGCATGTTTAAAAGCATTAAAAACTCATGTATAATTTTATTTATTTTGTTATTCCTGTTGAAAATAATCACAGCAAAATATATACCCATTAAATAATTTCTACATATATCATGTTAAGAAAGTTCATAATGATCCCATAATATCATTTAATATACAGCAGTGATGGAAATATTCTGTACCTATGGGAACTACTCGATGGCAGTGAGGTTTTTTAAACTGTTTACTATAGTCGCCACTGTTTTTTAACTGTTTACTATAGTTTCACATGGCTATTAAGCACTTAAAATGTGGTTTGTGGTGGTTGGGACCAAATTTTAATTTTGTTATTTTAATTAATTTAAATAGTCACAGGTAAGATTCTACATGTCTTGCTACAGTCTATCAGGAGGCTTATACAAGGGGGCTTCAAACGTTTGTGGAAAAAATGGAATTAAAAGATAATGGAATTTTTACATGAACTCTTTGAAACCCGTTTGATCATCATATGTTTTTTTATAAATTATAGTGATGACTATTATTTCTGTTCCAAATTAGGCCAGTGAGAGCCTTTTCAAGTCAGCTCTTGTTCTTTGGACATCAATCCATTAATTAGTAGCCTTCTTTGTTTTGGGACACAAGATGTTCCAAGTTTATTTTGAACTTTCTTTGTATCATTCAAGGACCTGTGATTCCCTTTAGTGAAGAGAGGGATATTTAGAAACCAAGATCTGGAATTTGCATGTGCTCGAGCAATAGCAATTTAACAACATAAAAACATTTGAAATTCCTTTTTTCATTTTCATTCTTTTGATCAGGGTAAAGGTTCCAGTTTTCTCACATTCTTGCCTTGTTAGTTGTGGGAGGAGACAGGGAGTCCTAGTTACATAGTGGTTGTGCTGCTGGTCTGTAATTTGAAACCACCAGCCCCTCCTTGGGAGAGGAGGTTTTCTCTTCTCATCAAGAGTTACAGTCTCCTGTTTTGAAAATGATGATGGCAACAAATGTACAAATGTGCTTCATACAATGGGTGGATGGATGTATTGTGATAAGTGTTGTACGAGCCCCCAACAAAATGATTAAAAACAAACTAACAACAACTAATGGGATATGATTAAAAAATTTCAACAGAAATGGCAAAAAAAAAAAAAGAGTTAAAGTCTCAAAAACCCACAGGTGCAGTTCTACCCTGTCCTGTAGGGTCGTTATGAGTCAGAATTAATAACTGAGTTTATTTTTTGGTGAGACAGTGGAGAAACCCAATGTCAACAGCTGAAACCAGGTCAGGGGCCAACTGTGGACAAGGCTATCAATTGCCCATTTGCAAGTTCAGGTTGAAGCTGAAGAAAATTAAAACAAATACACAAGAGCAAAAATACGACCTTGAGTGTATCCTACTGACATTTCAAGAACAGATTTGATTCACTGAATGACAAAAAATGTGATGAGCTATGGAATGACATCAAGAACAGCATACATAAAGATAATTAAAAAGACAGGAAAGAAAGAAAAGATCTAAGTGGATGTCATATGAGACTGAAACTTGCTCTTAATTGTAGAACAGCTGAGGCAAATGGAAGAAATGATGAAATCAAACAAATGAATTCAAAATTTCAAAGCGCAGCTTCAGAAGACATTGTAAAATATTATAATGAAATATGCAAAGACTTAGAGTTAGAACACCAAAAAGAAAGAACATGATCAACATATATAAGGCTGAAAGAACTGAAGAAAACATTCAAGCTGTGAGCTGAAGTATTTGAGAGACTGAGCAAAATATTGAATGAAACAGGATGCATCAAAACAAGATAGAAAAAATACACAGTCACTGTACCAAAAAGAAATGGTCTCCATTCAATCATTTCAAGAAGTGGTGTATGAGCAAGCACCAAAGAAGTGAAGGAAGCAGTTCAAGTTGCACTGAATGCATTACCCAAAAACAAGGCACCAGAAATTGATGGATTACTAATTGAAATGTTTCAACAAGCTGATGAAACACTGGAAGCACGCACCCATCTACGCGAAGAAGTTTGGAAGACAACTACCTGACCAACTGACTGGAAGAGATTCATATTTGTACCCATTCCAAAGAAAGGTGACTCAACAGAATGTGCAAATTATAGAACATTACCATTAATAACACATGCAAAAGTAAAGACTTGCTGAAGATCATCCAACAGTGATTGCAGCAGTCCATTGACTGGGAGTTGCCGAAGATCTGTTCAGATTCAGAAGAGGATCTGGAACAAGGGATATTATTGCTAATATCAGATGGATCCTGGCTGAAGACAGAGAATACCGGAAAGATGTTTACTTGTGTTTTATTGACTATGCCAAGGCATTTGACTAGTGTGGATCATTACAGATTATGGGTCTCCTTGAGAAGAATGGAAATTCTAGAACACTTTGTTGTGTTCATATGGAACCTGTACACAGATCAAGAGGCACTTATGCAAACAGAACAAGGGAATACTGCATGGTTTAAAATCAAGGATGGTATACAGCAGAGTTGTATTACCTTCTTATACTCATTCAGTCTGTATGCTGAGCAAATAGAGAAGCTGGACTATATAAAAATTACATCATCGAGATTGGAGGAAAGTTTATTAACAATCTTCGATATGCATATGACACCATCTTGCTTACTGAGACCGAGGAGCACTTGTAGGTACGTGCCAAGGAAGATCAAGAATTGCCGCCTTAATACTAAGATTACAAGTCATTGTAAAGAAAACCCAAATCCTCACACCTGGACCAATAGGTAGCATCATGATAAATGGAGAAAAGATTGAAATTGTCAAGGATTTTGTGTTGTTTCGATCACAATCAATGCTCATGGAAACAACGGTGAAGAGATCAAATGATGCATTGCATTTGGTGATTCTGCTTCATAAGACTTCTTTAACCTGTTGTGAAACAAAAATGTTACTTAGAGGACTTGGGTGTGCCTGACTAAGCCACGATATTTTCAGTTGCCTCACATGCATGTAAACATTGGACATTGATTAAGGAAGACTGAAGAATCAGTGTATTTGAACGTGCTATGGATTGCTCAGTGAACCAACAAATCTGTCTGGGAAGAAGTACGGCTAAAATGTTCCTTAGAATTAGGGTGGAGAGGCTTCATCAATTTTGGACATGTTATCAAGAGAGATCAGCCCTTGGAAAGGGACATCATACTTAGTAAAGTAGAGGGTCAGTGAAAAAAGAAAAAGACCTACAATGAGATGGCTTGACAGTGGCTGTAACAGTGGACGCAGGCATAGGAACCATTATGAGGAAGGTACAGTACCGAGCAGTGTTTTGTTTTGATGTGTGTAGGGTTGCTGTGGGTTGGAGCTGACCAGATGGCACTTAACAAAACAACAGCATTTATTTATTTTGTACATGCGGTTTGTGCTTTTGTTTTTATGTTAGATTCCTTTCTGAAAGTTAGGCATAAATGTATTGCCTCTATTTTCTTCTAAGAACTATATGGTTTATAATTGCACACCTAGGTCTTTAATCCATTTTTATTTTTATATATGGTATGAGGCCTAGACCCTGTTTCATTATTCTTGATGTGGAAATCCACTTTTCCCAGGAACATTTATTAGACTCTTCACTAGCACATGGATGTAACATCTTTGTATAGGTGTGTTTCTGGGTTCATGTTTCTATTTTGTTTTTAAATTATTTTATTGGGGGCTCATACAATTCTTATCACAATCCGTACATACATCCATTGTGTCAAGCACATATGTACATTTGTTTCCCTCATCATTCTCAAAACATTTGCCTTCTACTTTAGCCCTTAATATCAGTTGCCCATTTTTCTATTTTCATGTTTCTATTTTACTGGTATGTATGTTTATTGCTAAACACAACACCAATGTGTTTTGATTATTATCGTTATGTAGTGTATATTTTAAAATCAGATCATGTGACTTCA